TCATTATAAATCGGCAAAATCATTCACAGGAAAGATATGAATAGACCCTATAGGGCGCTAACTTCTAGAAGCAATTATAGATACCGTATATGAGACACTATTAGTAATCTTCCGTATCCTATCCGCATTCTTTAATGAAAAAATTTCGAAATTCTCCTGCTGGACGGTAGTGATGGGCGGTACCAGATTTTTTCATTTCGGTTCGATACCGAGTACTTCACCTGAGAGTATTGATGGTACCGAGTACGGTTCCGATTACCTGTAGTATCTAGCATAGCATGGAATAGCCACACGTAGCCATTTTTAATTAATTACTCAATATTTATGAATAATAATTAGCTGATTATTAGTGATTATTACTAGTTATAATAGTTAATTAATGCTTATTGGGTGTGGCTTCCGGAACCGAAACTTCGGTCGGTATTACTTCAGGATTCGGTGCCAGCAAATCAAGCACCAGAACCGTGGAACCGGATACTTTGGAACCGATACCGCCCATCACTACTGGACGGCAAAACCAGGCAAAATCAATGGATACTAGGAGGCCAAAAGCAGCCTTTGTGGACAAGTGGCTTCAAGTGCAATGAAGCTTTTTCTCAGGAGACATTCTGGGCTCTATTCTTCACTGTTACTGGCATTTATTGCCACTCAAACAAGCTCTGGAAGCCACGAAGGCCTCTTGTTCCTTGTTTCCCCATGTAGCTACACGGTATCTTGCCGTCCAAATCATGAGTGTGGGTGGATACCGTAATGCAATAATTACTTGCAGAACTTAGCGCCCTATAGGGTCTATAGGAATTAACAAACAAATAAATCATCAGTTAATGTATTTAAGGAAAGGAATATTCATTTTGAGCTTTGGTAGTTTTATTATCATCATCATCATCATTATTATTATTATTATCTTTGTTGTTGTTTTCTTGTATCAAAATGATGTACATTTGATCACATAAAAATGACTCAATGTCTATATCATTTTAGGAAAAGATGGACAACATTTTCAAGAAACTATAACTCCTAAAATTAATGGCAATTTGTCCAAACTTTCTGCATAGTTTAAGTACATCAATATGTAAAAAGTGTAATGAAAATTGGGGTAATTTTTGAGCCATTATTTTTAAACCATGGGCAATGTAAAGAGATTTTTTCAGAAACTGGTCCATTTTAAAAAATTGTCATAACTTTAAAAATTTAAGTTGGAATCTGCTCAAACCATCTGTATGCCTTAAATGTACTGCAAAATGTATTTAAAAATTAGGGGTGATTTTTGGGCCATTTTTTGGGAAAAAAAACATGGGCTTTTGAACATAATTTTTAAGTATTAATCCTATCCAGTCTCAAGGTGTAGCCTTGAGACTGAATATGAGAGAGGAGAGAGTCACTCCAGGTATACTGACAGTCATTGCGGAAGAGAAAGAGATGGATCCAAACTCGACTCTAAACTACATCATGTACATACGCAGCCAAGAATTGTATTTTGAATCATGACTGATATCAATAGGATCAGACTTGATACATTCCTGTATCATGGATTTTAGGTAGCCTGCAAAGCAATGAGTCCAGTATGATACAATCATGATCACCATCCATGATGGACCATGATACAACCATGCTAGAGTACGGCCCTGGTTGAGCCAGAGCAACAGACATGATTCAACATTGGTTCCAGTCATGGCTGTATCAAAATAGACATCAGGCTTGAATCATTGATTTTGGGTAGTGGCCTGTATCAGAGATGATAATTCTTGGCCGTGTACATAGTAACCTGCGGGGTGGAGCTGATCACTGATCAGTCCATGGTGGGCTGGCTTAGTCTGTGCCCTGGCAAAGATGAAGCAGACCATCTTCATGTCAGGGGTTGAGACAAAAGTGAGAGGGGGGCTTATTTACATTAATTCAATCATGTTTAAAATAATCCAAAAATATGGTTCGTTCATCCGTTATACTAATAAACTCCTTAGCTAAATCGAAGTTATCAGTAATTTGCTTATGTAATAGTAAGCAATGAAGTGAGGCAGCTGCTATAACACTAATAAGCTAGAGTAATTAATCAATTATCGGACTAATCAAACTTCGGACAGTTATATTTTGAAAACTAAACATGATTTTCCAGTGATTTTTGCACTAGATATAGATCATCACAATATCTGTTTGCATGGTAAAAATCAAAGCATTACCTTCTTTTTTTGTAAAGATATAATTTGCTAAACACACTTCGTAGATTCACACAATAATCGGACGTGTTAACTCAATTTTCGTCACTTAGCCACAACGAAGCAAGCTTTGTTCGAAGAATAGTTTTGTACCACCAGAACTTTAGTACTGACTGTCTTCTTCAAATACCTCTGTAAACATCTTGGTCATCTTTGCTTACTGTTCAGGTATTATACCTTTTTAGTTAATTATCATTATCGGTCACACCCATCTTCATTAATTGCTGCAACAAAGCACGAGGCTCCTTGTTTGTATTTTTGTTTGGACTCATTGAATCTCTCAGCTGCCTTTTCTTATCATAAATACTACCTCTATTGAATGTAAGTCACTATAAAAACAAAATTTGTTTGTATAGCATGCAGTTTGTTTTCAAAGCTTAGACATGGCAAGTTATAGGGAAGAAAAAGTTGAAATAAAATAGTCAAAACCAAGTTTTGTTGGTTTGCAAGGTTTTGAACATGCAGAGCAAGTTTTAAGGGCATATTAGATCTGGGTGTCCCATAAATCATTGAAATTATTGCAGTAATTAATAAATTGATTCTTTAAAAAACTAGAAAGCCTATAGGAAGGTTGCCGTTAACATTTGCAAGATAAATATTACATTTAATATAGGTTCCTCGAATATGGATTTTACTGTGGTGAATACGGTACACTGGTATTGAGGGTATGGGTTTTGAGGTTTTGATGGTTTTGAAGGTTTTGAAGGACTATGGGTAGTGTACACTGGTATTGAGGGTATGGGTTTTGAGGTTTTGATGGTTTTGAAGGTTTTGAAGGACTATGGGTAGTGTACACTGGTATTGAGGGTATGGGTTTTGAGGTTTTGATGGTTTTGAAGGTTTTGAAGGATTATGGGTAGTGTACACTGGTATTGAGGGTATGGGTTTTGAGGTTTTGATGGTTTTGAAGGTTTTGAAGGACTGTGAGTAGTGTACACTGGTATTGAGGGTATGGGTTTTGAGGTTTTGATGGTTTTGAAGGTTTTGAAGGACTATGGGTAGTGTACACTGGTATTGAGGGTATGGGTTTTGAGGTTTTGATGGTTTTGAAGGTTTTGAAGGACTATGGGTAGTGTACACTGGTATTGAGGGTATGGGTTTTGAGGTTTTGATGGTTTTGAAGGTTTTGAAGGATTATGGGTAGTGTACACTGGTATTGAGGGTATGGGTTTTGAGGTTTTGAAGGTTTTGAAGGTTTTGAAGGATTATGGGTAGTGTACACCGGTATTGAGGGTATGGGTTTTGAGGTTTTGAAGGTTTTGAAGGTTTTGAAGGACTGTGAGTACTGTACACTGGTATTGATGGTATGGGTTTTGAGGTTTTGATGGTTTTGAAGGTTTTGAAGGATTATGGGTAGTGTACACTGGTATTGAGGGTATGGGTTTTGAGGTTTTGATGGTTTTGAAGGTTTTGAAGAATTATTGGTAGTGTACACTGGTATTGAGGGTATGGGTTTTGAGGTTTTGATGGTTTTGAAGGTTTCGAAGAATTATTGGTAGTGTACACTGGTATTGAGGGTATGGGTTTTGAGGTTTTGATGGTTTTGAAGGTTTTGAAGGACTGTGAGTACCGTACACTGGTATTGAGGGTATGGGTTTTGAGGTTTTGATGGTTTTGAAGGTTTTGAAGGTTTTGAAGGATTATGGGTAGTGTACACTGGTATTGATGGTATGGGTTTTGAGGTTTTGATGGTTTTGAAGGACTGTGAGTACTGTACACTGGTATTGAGGGCATGAGTTTTGAGGTTTTAAAGGTTTTGATGGTTTTGGGTTCAGAGTATGCTAGGGTTTTAAGTAAAGAAGTCTTGCTTTGTTATTACAGTCAAACCTGTCTATTTTGACACCTTGGGACCCAATAATACTGTGCTGAATATTAAAGTTACTTTATTTTAGAGGTTCATTAATTAATACACATTTATATTAATTGCATTTACCACCTGTCCTGAGTTTTTATTGCAGACTGTCCATTATTTAGAACAAATTTGCCAAGTCATACTGTAGCAATTTAACAGAACACTGTTCCCCTCCTGTGCTTATGAGGATATATTCCACGAGATTTTACACAAGCAACTATTATCAAGAGTTCTAATTAGCATTAAAACTAATTAAATTGACACTTTTACCAAAAAAGGTCTAGTCTTTGGTATTATATCAATGGTATTATTATCATAATTTCAGTAGAAGTAAGATTGAAGGAATCTTAGAAATATTTAATTAATTAGTCTGAAAAAAAGCTAGCTACTTTTGAAATTTATAAAATCTTAAGAGTGTCGTTTGTTTAGTAGTCAAATTAATTGTTTTTTATTTTTATGGTTTATGATTGAAATGCAAAGCCAAAGTGGTTGATGACCCTACAAAGGTATTGTAACCCAGGCTACACATAAAGAGCACATTGTAGTTATAATAGCTATAATTAAAACTATGCATGTAAAATTTAGACCATTACAGTAAGGCATCATGTAGTGAGGCGAGAGTCTTGCTACTTGAGACTAAGGAAGGCATATGTACTGGTATTCACCTGGGATGAGGATCCTACCCTCCCCTCAAGCAGCAAACATACTCCAGTAAAGGGGTGTAAGTATTGATGAGCATGTATCACTAACATCCATGTTCTAGCTAATTGTGTTCCTTTATACATTGATACATAATTAAATTTTAATAAACCCAACTTTATAATACATTATTATGGTACTTAGTCTGTATAATCAGTATTAATGTTTGCATTTTGGACAAAAGTATTTGAATCCTTCCTTTGAAGCCTTGTGTTTTGTTATACCAGCACATCGAATATGCACCCACTGAGGACATTTTTCACATAAGACCCATGTTGAATTTGGATTATTTCTTCTCATCAAACAGATGTCCTTGGGGCAAGTATCTAAAGGGGTCATTTCTTTGCTTGATTGTCTTGTCCGTGTAACTTTAACTGGCTTCACTAGGGCATTGCATGCTGCGTTGGTTGATATCAAAGGTCTCTTATCACCTGCTCATTGTTATAATACATGTAACTATGTTACTTATAACAGCCTTAATTACCATGTCCATCAAAGTGACCACTCTTATTCAAAGTCCTCTTTGATCCAGCAGTGTTTAGTTTCTTCCCCTCTCCTGTCTCTTTACTCAAAATATTTAATAGCAATTGCTATGTGCTGTGCTAACCGTTTTCCTGTACAACACTCTGAGATACTCTAGCAGTCTCTGATTCATTAGCAGTCCCTTTGCTTCTCTCATCTATATAGTGATACATTTGTAATAGTAATTGCTATGTGTTGTGCTAACCATTTTCCTGTACAGCACTCTGAGATACATGTACTCTAGCAGTCTTTGATTCATTAGCAGTCTCTTTGCTTCTCTCACCTATATAGTGACACAAATGAAATACATTTGTAATAGTAACTGCTATGTGCTGTGTTAACCGTTTTCCTGTACAGCACTCTGAGATACTCTAGCAGTCTCTGATTCATTAGCAGTCTCTTTGCTTCTCTCATCTATATAGTGATACATTTGTAATAGTAATTGCTATGTGTTGTGCTAACCATTTTCCTGTACAGCACTCTGAGATACATGTACTCTAGCAGTCTTTGATTCATTAGCAGTCTCTTTGCTTCTCTCACCTATATAGTGACACAAATGAAATACATTTGTAATAGTAATTGCTATGTGCTGTGTTAACCGTTTTCCTGTACAGCACTCTGAGATACTCTAGCAGTCTCTGATTCATTAGCAGTCTCTTTGCTTCTCTCATCTATATAGTGATACATTTGTAATAGTAATTGCTATGTGTTGTGCTAACCATTTTCCTGTACAGCACTCTGAGATACATGTACTCTAGCAGTCTTTGATTCATTAGCAGTCTCTTTGCTTCTCTCACCTATATAGTGACACAAATGAAATACATTTGTAATAGTAATTGCTATGTGCTGTGTTAACCGTTTTCCTGTACAGCACTCTGAGATACTCTAGCAATCTCTGATTCATTAGTAGTCTCTTTGCTTCTCTCACCTATATAGTGACACAAATGAAATACATTTGTAATAGTAATTGCTATGTGCTGTGTTAACCGTTTTCCTGTACAGCACTCTGAGATACTCTAGCAATCTCTGATTCATTAGTAGTCTCTTTGCTTCTCTCACCTATATAGTGACACAAATGAAATACATTTGTAATAGTAATTGCTATGTGCTGTGTTAACCGTTTTCCTGTACAACACTCTGAGATACTCTAGCAATCTCTGATTCATTAGTAGTCTCTTTGCTTCTCTCACCTATATAGTGACACAAATGAAATACATTTGTAATAGTAATTGCTATGTGCTGTGTTAACCGTTTTCCTGTACAGCACTCTGAGATACTCTAGCAGTCTCTGATTCATTAGCAGTCTCTTTGCTTCTCTCATCTATATAGTGACACAAATGAAATACATTTGTAATAGTAATTGCTATGTGCTGTGTTAACCGTTTTCCTGTACAGCACTCTGAGATACTCTAGCAATCTCTGATTCATTAGCAGTCTCTTTGCTTCTCTCATCTATATAGTGACACAAATGAAATACATTTGTAATATTAATTGTTGCGTGCATGAACTGATGTGTTAACCATTTTTCTGTTCAACACTGCGAGGTTCATTGACAACCTCTTACTTCTCACTCTGATATTATCACAAATGAAATACAATTGTGATAGTAATTTTCACACTTTTCTACACTTGTGTTCAATCAAGTGTTTTTGATTTTTGCTAATCACTTATAGGTGAACTAATTATTTCTTTGCGACTTACCTAGGTTAACAAATTTCTTCAATATTCCATGACTTATGGAAGCATGAGGTATTTGGCAACATTTGCGTTGTTTGCCATTTATTGTAGTCACACTACAAGATATTGCAGTGTCATTTAAGAAAGGAATCGAAGCTCCTGTCTTCCCTCCAACTGCAGTGAGCTCCTTCTTGAGCTTCGATTCGTTTACTGTTACAAATTCTCTCATTTTTGGTAGACAAATATACATAGACTTAGCACCTGAAATTTTATTTGCTACAGCAGGACGTAAGAATCGAAGTATCTATATAAAATTATATCCAAATTTGCATACATCTATAAACACTCTGTTAGTTTGCAAACCTCCCAAATCTCCATATCAGCTACTTGAGTGAAAATGTCTTCCAATATTTCATCTAATTGACACGCCTTTGCTAAGAAGATATCATTCACAGTTGGGGCCCATTTATGAATGAAAAAAGACTTGACTTCATCTACAGTTACAATCTCAAATGGCAGCTCATTACATATCTATAATTATTATAATCTTGTTAGACAAGTAAATTAAATCCTTCTTACTTCATCAGTTATAGTCAGTAGAAGAGCATAGCTACGATGTACACGGTAGGATAATTTCGGGAGTTGCTCTTTTACAAACATCACATATTCATGAAACTTCTCTAAAAATTGATTCTTTTCAAGTAAAGCTCCCATTGAAATAAGTAATCCAACGCAACCAGATGCTTTTTTGCATGCAATCTGTAGTGCTTCTTCAACAGCATTTCTGTTCTGACTTTCATCAACAGTTATACCCCAAAATGGTATATGTATGAGCCTCACTGCATTCCTATTAAAAATATGGTATACAGTTTCACATCCCATATAAGCACTAATGGTTCCCATGTTAACACTATTTCTTCCCATGGTTGCATGCACTAACATGACAAACAACAATACCTGTCAGTGTCAGCAAAATATTGGTTTGATGTAGCTATAATACTAGTTCTTGGCTTAGTAGCACCTGCACTAACAGTCATGTATGTTGCACCACCAGTGAATTGCACTGCAATCTCTTCCATAGCATGCGAATTAGAAACATCATCAACAACAATAGGAATTGTAGTGCCGGCAGCGCAACTTATTATTGCTGAAAGAGTTGATTTAGACCCTTTCATATGAATTTCCTGAGCTCCCCAACAACTCAGTGCCATTTGTGCTGAAGAGCTTTTTCCTATAATTTTTAGAAAAATTAATATTAAAAGCACGTAATCATGAAATATATACAGTATGTACCATTTCCTGTGGTTTTGCTGCATAACAAAGGAATTGGGCACTCTCCAAATTGTCGAATAACTGTTTCAAAATGACCCACCAACACACTTGATGTAATTGTTAGGTAAGTGCTCATGAAGTTGTCAGGCATAGCAACTTCGACACAGTTCAATAATTCCCACAAGGCCTATATGCATATGAATTAAGTCGGATCACAATGTACATAGTCACTTACCATTGTGTCAAGTGGTAGGTTTATTTTGCAAAAATCAAAATGAGTTTGTTCATCCCAATAAAATTGATGCTGGTCCTCAGGAACAATGTTGCCCTTGCTGTCAATGTGAACATTTGGTGCTAGAACCCATATATCATGCCCCTCTTGTTTTCCGATCGATGTAACCATTGTTTTCTTCCTGCAATCTGTACTTGCTCTGTACAGCTTGCATGCTTCAAATATGTACTGCCCCCATATCTCGTCAGAGCAGCGGGTTTTCACGAATTGAAGAGATGGCACAACGCTGCTGGCTTTTTTAGTAAATGTGGCCAATGACAGTGAATCATTATTATTTATGAAGCATGATCTATACAAAAAATGGCAATTGTGAAATGAACAGTACTGAACCATACACAACTGTGACTGCATGAACACATGATGCCACATGATGCATCAGGCCAGCGGCCTGGCGGGCTGACCATACTGAGATCTATGCATGAACTAGTTTATTATTATTATTAATGAACTTCACAATACACATAGAAAGGATGTGAAAATAGGACACAAAAGACTAGGCAGCATACTGTAGAAGCTGTGATAAATGACAGCCCCTGGCTCATCCAAAAATTAAAACAAAAGGAATTTAAGAGCTAAAAATAAAAATGCAGGCACGCATAATAATGACACTAATGCCACACCATAGATACTGCTTTAACTACGCTTACTACTAGGCTCAACTGTTACTATTATCAAGACATGATGTTGTGACCGGACTCACCCTTCGTCGCCGTAGCTAGTCTTGATATGGTACACATAGCCACTAGTAGAGCGAGGCACATTCACTGCACAGGTTACTTTTAAAGTAAAATTGGTAATGGTAACGTTATTCTTTATGATTTTAAGCTCGCCATCCTCTTCTTTAAGCAGTTCCATAGTTATCGCAGCTTTACGAGAGAGTCTAATTAGTCTGTTATTAATAAATAATTAGTAGACTAGAACTATGACTGGAATAATTCATTTAATAGGACTCTCCCCGCCCCTTGTCAACACTAATAATTTGATTAATTTCAGATCATCTCGAATATCATGTCTTGTAACAGTAAGAGAGGAAGAAAGAGGAAGCTACTGAAGCAAATGGAGGATCTTGAAAGATGTACCAGTATGGAGTCTCTAGCCGACAATGTTGATGTTCAGTCGGAGTCAGCACCTAAAGTAGCTAAGTCTTTGGCTATGTCCTCACCGGCATCTCAACCACTGGATCTAGTCACGTGCAACGATATGATAAAGGAGCTTCTTGTTGGACAAGCTCTGAATTTGATTCCAAGCACTTTCAAGTCTCAGAGGACCATATTTATTGCTAATATTATCCAATACATTGATCCAAGGTGTACTGTTCAGGAAGTGGAACAAATGATTCGCCAAGTTCAATCCAAATATTCTTCTGCTAATTTACATTTAATGGGTACTCCTGATAGAGAGTTATTGAAGAGTGTAACAAAGACAACGGAAACATCTCACATGTTGTTCCTTGGTCCCCCAACGGATGTGTGTTTGAAATGCTCAAAAGTATTATACTCACACAATCCAGTTTCTGAAATCACTTGCTATGATGTTGATGGTCCGTTGCCAGCTCAAAAAATAACATTAAGATGCCATAACTGTTCATTGAATTATAGGTAAGTACAAAGATATTTTCACTTAAATTTTCCTGATTATGATGTAGGTATGATACATATGGTTCAGAAACTTTTGGATATTGTTACTACGAAAAGGAAAGACCATATGTGCGAGGGTCAAAGACAAGGTTTATACACAGAAAGCTGCATCAACTATTTGTTTCAGCAAGGTATAGTACAGAGCCTGAAATATGCATCCAAACAATGTTCAGACATTGTGTCTGAATATTGCTTAATAGTGATCAGCCATTTTAATGAAATGGTCAGACAGCGTTTCCCACAGGATTTTGACATACATGTAGTGCCTCATATTTTCATGCCAGTGGATTAGCAAGATGTTCAAAAATTGGGCCAAAGAGCTTTGGGGGCAAAAAATAACAAGGAGAGAATCTACATGTTTTTATGTTTTCTAAACGATTAGAGCTGATTTTTAATAAATTTTTGAAGTTTTACAAAAGTTGCTAACGACCAAAGCTATGGTATTTGTCTTTGGCCAAATTTCATCAAAAGTGGCTTGAATAAAATTGTCTATTTAAAATTTTTTTGTATGTATATTGTATACATGTGTACATAAATTTTTGTTGCGTAGAAAATTGGAGCTTATTTAGATTAAATTTTGCTTTTTATGACTTTTTAAAGCTGCTCCAAAGTTATGCCAAAGACCAAAGGATTATAGCCTCTTGTTTTTGGCCAAATATTGTCAATAGAAAAGAAACCTCTATTTTTATACTATGGGGCGCATCAAAGGCACCGCCTTTTCCATTATATTGCATACAGCACTGGAAGTGAGTGTCAGTTAATTGGCTTCACAATGGCTAGCAGCACGAGGTGAGAAGCTCTTTGTGGCCAGAGAAAAAGATAAACTGCTCTACCTGTTGTGGAACAGACTCACAACAATCCTTTACCACCATTGTCAGCTTTTTTCTGTTGTTAGTGACCAAAGATGTTCTTATATTGATTGTTGGGCAGCGTCACATGACAAAGAAAATTGTCTTGCAAGCTTTTAAATGTTTGTACTGGCTTTGTCTTAACCTTGAAGATTAGAGAAAACTTCTTTAGGAGTGCATTTGGCGGACGCCTTTGATTCGCCCAATATATCCCATAAATTAATTATAGCACAGTAAGGAGTGCTGTATGC